AGCTTAATTGAGGCGGTAACTAGGGCCAAAAAAATTTTCTCTAAGGACGCGTACCTTGTTTCCGCGCTGAGTAGGGTCTTGCTTACGTAGTAGATTAAGAATTGTTCCTTGCATTCTTCTCTTGTAAGGACCGCACTAATCGTCCCTTCAGACACTACGAAGTACAACTGGAGGGGCTCCCTTTCCTTAGGTTTGGAGAGAATCAACGGGTTGGCCAAGTACTCATTTAACTTCAGAAATGCCTCTTCGTGTTCCTGCTCCCACTTGAATTCCTTGTTTTTCTTCAGTACCTCGTAAAAGGCTCTGTTCTTGTCTGAAGATTTTGAAATGAACCTGTTCAGTGCCGCAATTTTCCCTATTAGGCTCTGTAAATCATTCTTTGATTTTGGTCGTTCCAGATCTAGAATGGCCTTGACTTGGTCTGGGCTGGCTTCTATTCCTCTTTGTGTAACCATGTATCCTAAGAACTTTCCTGACTGTACTCCGAATGTGCATTTTGTGGGGTTCAACTTCATACCGTACTGCTTCAGGATGGCAAATGCTTCTTTAAGGTCTCTGACGTGCTCTTCTGCCTTCTTGGATTTAACCACCATGTCGTCTATATAGACTTCTATTGTGTTCCCAATTTGTTTTTCAAACATCTTGTTCACCGGTCTTTGATATGTCGCTCCTGCGTTCTTCAATCCGAAAGGCATTACTTTGTAGCAATATATTCCTTGACTAGTGATAAAGGCGGTCTTCTCTTGGTCATCCTTGTGCATGAGGATTTGATTATAACCACTTTACGCATCCATGAAAGATAGCAGCTCGTGTCCTGCTGTGGCGTCTACCATTGCATCAATATGAGGTAGGGGGAACGGATCTTTTGGGCATGCCTTATTGATATCTGTGAAGTCTATGCAGATTCGTCATTTTTCGTTCTTCTTCTTGACTACCACTACATTAGCGAGCCATTCTGGGTATTTTACCTCTCTGATCTTTCCAGTCTTCAATAGGTTTTGGATTTCTTCGTTGATAATCTTGTTCCTTTCTGGCGCAAATTTCCTTCTCTTCTGCTTTACTGGTGTATGCATTGGGTCCACGTTCAGCTTGTGAGTAATTACATCTGGAGAGATACCTTTCATGTCTTCATGAGCCCAGGCGAATGCATCTTTTTCTTTTTCTAAGAAGGCATATATTTGTTGTCGGAGATCTGGCTTCAATTCTGACCCTATCTTGACCTTTTGATCTGGGTGCTTGAGGTTCAACTGGACTTCTGTGGCTTCTTGCTCTTCTTCTATGCTCAACTTCTCTTGGCCCAGTTGACCCTCTAATTGCTATGCTGAACTCTTTTCTGCGGATGTTGCTTTTAATGCGATCTTGTAACATTCTTTGGCCTCTTTAGGGTCTCCCCTGATTTCTTAAATACCCCATTTGGTAGGGAACTTAATGACTTGATGGTATATAGAAGGGATGGCCTTCATCTCATGTATCCAGGGTCTGCCTAAAATCATATTGTATGAGGATAGAGTGTCGATCACCAGGAACTTGACTTGTAGGTTGACTCCTTTCGCATAGGTAGCTAATGTGATCTCCCCACTTGTCTTCTTGGTTTCCCCACTAAATCCTACTAGCATTGTTGACTTATTGATGATGTTCTTTTCGTCTATGTTCATGTGTTTCAGAGTATCGAGCATGATGATGTTTTCAGAACTTCCGTTGTTAACAAGGATTCGCTTGATCATGGAGTTTCCAACTGGGAGTGAAATTACTAGACCGTCATGATGGCCTTCTACTACGTCGCTTTCTTCAAACATAATGGGAATGTCTATTTTGGATTTTCCCTTCTGTCTGGTTGATCCTTATTGCTCTCTTTTGCGTATCGCTTTGCTGCTGAGTATGTTAAGCCGCACACTTCTGATCCTCCTGATATGAAACAGATGGTTTTGACAATTGGGGGCGGAGGTGGAGGACCTCCTTGCATTGTTTCTCTTTCTTTCCCTAGAGCTTTAGATCTATCTGACAGGAGTTCTTGGAGATATCCTTTCTTCAGTAGGTAAGCAACTTCCTTTCTGAGCGCAACACATTCATCGGTTGTGTGACAAATATCTGAATGGAAATCGCACCACCTGGACGGATCTTTCTTCTCTCCAGGCCTATCATTCTTTCTGGGCCATTGCATAGTGTCCCCCATCTTATTCAGGGTCCTGATTACTCCTGCAGGGTTAGCATTGAAGCAATACTCATGTAATTTAGGTGGGAGTTCAAGATCTTCCCTCTAGTCGGAGAATTCTTCTTCAACAGCATTGACTGATCCTTCATCAAAGCGGGAACGTTGATATGGCTTAAATCGGTGATCTCTTCTGGGAAAGTTGATGTTCCTTCTGGATTGGTGATCTGGCTCAGGAGTCTTTTGTGCATAGGTATCCTCTTCTAATCTGACTTGAGCCATAGCTTTGGCTTGCACATCTTCAAAGGTTGTACAGGGGTATTTGGTCAACTCCTTGTAGAGCTCACTATGGTCTAGCAGCCCTCTTTTGAATGCTTCGATTGTTGTCGAAGCATCACACTTGTGTATCCCAATCTTCTCCCTGTTGAACCTGTTTAGATAGTCCCTCAAGGATTCACCATGTCTCTGCACAACACGGTACAGATCTGAAGACTGCTTCTCGATTTTTTCTGCTGCTAGAAAACTGGATCTTGAATAGGTTCACCATTCCTGCAAAAGATCGAATTGTCCCATTATCTAAATTAATGAACCAAGTTAGATCAGGACCTGATAGCGTGGCTCCAAAGCCTTTGCACATGATATCTTCCCTTATATCTCTAGGGATCGAGCTTGTCATCATTTTTTGCTTGTAGAGGGACACATGCTCATCAGGGTCCATTGTTCCATCAAACATGTGCTGAACCTCTTCGGCACCTCTACCATGGCGATCTCTTCTGAGAAGGGAAATTCTATATAGCCATCTGCTGCTTCTTCTTCCATGGGTTTCGGCATTCCAGGAATTTTGGCGATTTTGGCCTCGATTACCTTGAGGTATTCTTTGACCATCTTCTCTACCTTTCCTTCTTCGGCTCCTTCCTGATTGTTCTTCTTGAGGGTTCTTGCATCCAAAAAGTCTAGATCCAGGGTTGCTTCCCTGTTGTTAGATCCTTTTTCCCCGTTAGGGGTGTGAAAGGTTCCGGACATGTCAAGCTGCATGGCTATACTTTCAGTGCTCTTTCTGGTGTTAACGGTTTTAGATGCGACTGATTGTATTTGGCTGCGAAGGGCTTCATTTTTTTTGGTAAGACTGGTGAGTTTGGCTTCAGTTTGGACTTTTTGAGCCAGCAGTGTTTCAATTTGGCTTTTCTGCTGGTTTAAAGTTTGGCGGAATGCATTCATTCCTTCATTAATTTCGGCAATGGTAAAGGGTACTAGTTGCCCAGTCATGGTGTTTGTTTTGGTTTTTGGCGAATTGGTAGGTTAATTGGCTATCAGCCCCGCGGTGGGCGCCAAATTGTTTAGGCAAATCTCAGCTAGGACATCTAAGAATTTGCTATGTTTTGAGGGGTAATAACAATCATACTACCAATAGTATCTAAATCGAATAAGAACTATAATAAAGCAATAAATAATCAATAAGTAAGCAATAAATATTCAATGAGAATAGGAAGATGAGATTAGATATACAATACTGAGTGAGGACAAGCCTCCTTGTTCAGTAGGGACGCAGTTCCGTAGATAAAAGTAGAGCAAATAGTTTATATTGAATTATATGTGAGTGTACATGAGTTTTAGAATGCTTAATTCTTCCTATTTATACCTAGGGATCCCTAGGGTTTACATAGATATTCAGAATATATTTGAAATGTGGAAGATTCTCTTGATTTATTTTGTTCCCTGTTCTGTAGGTGTATCTTTGGCAAGTATCTTCTTGATTGATGCTCTTCCTACTGCTTTCCTTGTTTACTTCAATCACGCCGTTCTTGTTTATGTTGCTGAATCTTTGAACTTGGATTAATGCCCTAAGCATCCTGGCTCGTATGTAAATATGGGCCTAACATTATATAAAAAGAAAATAGAGAATTTCATTAAAAATAAAAGAAAAGAAAAGAAAGAAAGAAAACACAAAACAAACCCAATTAATTCGTTAGTAGGTGGCAGGCACACAAAATCAAACAAACCATAACAAACTTCCCACAAAATCAATCACCGTTCTTAGTTTTCATTAAAAATAAAATAATTGTTAATCATATTTCCCAAAAAGTCGAACAAACTCCAATTACGAAATCAAAAGATTGTCTTTGTGCTAAAATTTGTTTTTGATTACTGTTTTCTGGTATCAAATTGCAATTTATTGGAGTAGATTGTTTGGTATCATCTTGTCTGGAGTAGATTGAAGCAGCTTGTAGATTGAGGAAGAAACAAATACAAGTAAGTTTGTCAACTCGACTCAACTAGTTATTTTAATTTCATAATATGTCAGGCTAATTCTTAGTAGGTTTGAAAAGTTAGGGAATTTTAATTTTTTTTTATCAAATTATATAAGTATCTTTATTGTTTAATTGGTTTGATAATCTAAATTAATAAAGAAGACAAACAATCTTATAGTGGGATAACATAGGTAGATGATCCTTAAATGTTGACAACCTCTAGGTGATGGCTCTATATAATATTGCGTTCTTAATTTATAATGTGATGTATTGATAATATAATTTCAAAATTATATATATATATATATATATATATATATATATATATATATATATATATATATATATATATAGGATTGTTAGGTGCTTGTTACCATTCTCTTAGGGTGTATCTCTTTTGCGGTGTGACTCAATTGTGGTATTGTGAAATTTGTGACCTTTAATTGTTGAGAGTTGAAATTGAATATGCACTTTTATTTGCAGAAAGTTTGTCTTCTTATTTTGTTTTAGCCAGTCCAAGAATTCATGTCAATATTTGTCTTTTAGTTTATTACCTTTGTTGTTGATCCTCCACATAACTTCTTATGTTATAGAGTATTATAATGGCAAACATCAACAAATATTGGATTGATGCACCCCATAGTTCCGAAGAATATATCAAAGGAGTTGAGAATTTTCTAGATTTTGCATTTCTAAATTCAACCACGGACACAGAGGAAGATGATGAACCGGATATTTTATGCCCATGTATGAAGTGTGTTAACAGATTTTGGTTCCCAAGGGAGGAGGTTTTCAATCACCTAATTGCTAACAGATTTAACAAGAGGTATAAAGTATGGAACTTTCATGGCGAAGGAATTACAACAGGGTCTTCTTCAAGGGGAGATGAGAATCAGTGTGATAATCAAAACATATTAGACAATATGGACGAGATGATTAATGATATTTTCAGAGATGTTATAGGAGGTTCAAGTTCCGAAGCAGAAGAACTTCGGAAGGGTCCAGATGAGAGTGCTAAAAAGTTTTATAAGTTGTTACGGGATGCACGGGAGCAATTTTATCCAGGCTGTAAGAATTTTTCTGCTCTTTCATACACAGTGCGACTCTATCTACTTAAATGTCTTAACGGGTGGAGCAATTCTTCTTTTGATAAGTTCATGAAGCTTCAATGTGATGCCTTTCCATTTGCAAAGCTTCCTACTTCTTTTCATCATGCTAAAAAAATGGTGAAGAACCTTGGACTTAATTACAAACGAATTGATGCGTGTCCTAATGATTGTATGTTGTATTGGAAAGAACGTGCAAATGACAAGTCTTTCCATGTTTGTAAAGCCTCTCGATGGAAGTTAAATGAGAAGCAAAAAGAGGAAGGTGCATTGCCTGACGAAGAAGTTCCTGCAAAAGTTCTACGTTACTTTCCTCTAAAACCTCGTCTACAAAGGTTGTTCATGTGCTCTATGACGGCTGAACTCATAACATGTCATGAAACTGATCACAAGAAAGATGACAAATTAAGGCACCCTGCTGATGGACAAGCTTGGAAAGATTTCGATGTTGCACATCCTCAATTTGCAAGTGATTTTCGAAATAGGTCTTACTACTGATGGTTTCAACCCATTCAGAACTATAAGTGTGTCATATAGTATTTGGCCTGTTGTTTTATCCATTTATAATTTTCCTCCGTGGTTATATAATAAGTCCGAGTACAATATCATGTCTTTGATTATACCTGGTCCTTCTCCAAGTTATGATATTGATGTTTACTTGCAACCATTAATCGAGGAATTAAAGGAGTTATGGGAAGTTGGAGTTGACACATATGATGCTGTGAAAGATGAAACATTTTCTTTAAAGGCAGCCTTTTTATGGACAATCAGTGACTTCCCTGCTCATGCAATGTTTTCCGGATGGAGCACCAAAGGAGAATTTTCCTGCTCGAATTGCAATCATAAGACTTGGTCCAAATACCTGAAGTATAGCAGGAAAATGTGTTACACGGGACATCGTAGATCTTTGAAAGAAAATCATCCATGGCGTCGTAATAAGAGAGCTTTTGATGGCAATGTAGAGACAAGGCCTCCTCCTCCTACTAGATTCTTGGGTTCTGAGGTATTAAAGGATTTAGAAGGGTTTGAAAATAAGTTTGGGAAAACTCAAAAGAAGGGCAGAAATAAATTTCCTTGGAAGAAGAAATCAATTTTCTTTGAGCTTCCTTATTGGGAAACTAATACCTTGCGTCATAATCATGATGTTATGCACATTGAGAAAACATTTGTGACAGTGTGCTCGATACTTTACTTGATATCCCAAGAAAGACTAAGGACCATGTGGCAGCCCGCTTTGATTTACAGGATATGGGTATAAGAAATGAAGTCCATCCAAAGAGAACAAATAATAGAGGGAAGCGTTTATACTCAAAAGCCTGTTTGTCTTTATTTTCTAGTGAAAAAGACTTGTTCTGCAGTGTGATAAAAGGTGCTAAGTTTCCCGATGGTTGTGCATCAAACATCTCTAGATGTGTCCAATCCAATGAGAGGAAGTTTGCTGGTTACAAGAGCCATGATGCCCACTTTATGCTTCATTATTTGCTCCAAATTGCGGTAAAGAATGTGTTGCCTAAGCAAGTAGAATCGACTTTGATTAGGCTAGGATCCTTTTTCAGGGGTTTATGTAGGAAAGTTTTATGGCCTAAAGATCTCAATGATCTTGAATCTGAAATCATAGAGATACTTTGCCAACTTGAGAAGATATTTCCCCCAAGTTTTTTTGACATAATGATTCACCTTCCACTTCATCTTATAGAGGAGGTAAGGCTTGGGGGCCCTGTTCAAGGTCGATGGATGTATCCGAAAGAGCGGTATTTGGGTAAATTGAAGTCTTATGTAAAAAATAGAAGTTGACCCAAAGGTTCCACTGCAGAGGCCTACTTGGCAGAAGAATGCCTTATTTTTTGTTCTCGATATCTTCATGATGATTTTAGTTCCAAGTTGAATGGGCACCTAGAAATGATGATGATACTGCATCCAATCAAGATGGAAGCCTTTTTCTAATGTTGGACGTCCTTTAGGTGTAAAAAAGAAAAATAAAGGCAAAAAGGTTTCTTTAGATGAGGACACTTTGATGAAAGCTCATCGTTATGTACTCTTTAATTGTGATGAAATCAATGATTACATAAGGTCCGTAAGTAATTTTAAGGTATTATTTCATATTAACTATAATTAATCTTTATTGTTTATAGTTGACTAATACAACTAAGTTTCCTTGTGATATGTATGTAGTGAACATCAAGATTTTGTGAATCGTCAAAGAAGTCAAGGTAGACGGGTTAAGCAGAGTAGGTGGGAGAGAGCACAAGAGCATAGTCATGATATTGGAGCATGGTTCAAGGATTGTGTACGGGAAGAAAATGTTTCCAAAGAAATCAAGGCTTTATCCCAAGGTCCTGACTATACTGTGAGAAGTTTTAAAGGGTACCTAATAAATGGTAACAAATTTCATACAACTGCACATGAGTCAAAAAGGAAAACTCAATGTAGTGGAGTTAGTGTAACATCTTCAATGTCGAGTTTTGCAAGTTCTAGGGATCAAAATCCTGTTGTTGGGGATGTAAAATATTATGGAGTGGTGGATTATATCATTGATTTAGATTATTTTTGTCATTTTAAAGTGGTATTGTTTCGCTGTAATTGGTTTCAAGTGGAGCAAGATGAGTTTGGGCTATTATGTGTAAATTTTAAAAGGTTATGCTATACTAATGACCCTTTTGTGATGGCTAATCAAGTAAACCAAGTTTTTCATGCGCGAGATTCCAAAGAAAAGCATTTGCATTACGTTATGGAAACTATCCTCGGAGACTTCTTTGATATGAGTGAAGAATCGAATGGTTAATCAAAAGCGCACATGAATACGATCTGAATAAAGTAGAGGCCTATTATTAGGGCAGGTTCAATCTCTTTTAGGTTGGATTTGTACCTTCATCCCCGAACCCTTATTTGGTTCAAGACCTTATTGGAGTTGACGATCTCTTGGATCGTTAAGGGGTGTAACCTTCACCCTGTGAACGGTTTACAAGTTCCTAAAACTTGTTGGCGACTCTTTTGCTCTATCTTCTTCCCTTTTGGACGCCACCGTACTTTAGTGTATGATCACAGTGGGGTTCGAGCTAGGGGATTAACGCTTGAAATATTCCCTACAATATGCATGTACTTTTCCTCTTTCATTGGACCCAACTACTAGATCATGGTTTTATAACCTCGATGCAAAACAAACTTCCACTTGGAGTGACGTTGTAAAAGCCTTTTTTACCCAATATGGAGATAACATCGAGCTCACAACTACCTTGCGCAATCTCAAATTGCTTAAGCAAGGGGAAGAAGAAAGCTTCATTGACTTCTTTTCCAGGTGGCGATCAAAGGTTGCTCTTATTCCTTGGGATGGGAATGGTGCAAAGATACAAATAGGAAATTGGGGGAACGAAACATAAGAGGGGGACACAAAGTTAGTCTAAACCCAAAAGGAAAGATCAAATGCAAAAGAAAAAAGAAAAATTGTTCTAAGCCCAAAACAAAACTTGTCAAAAAAAAGGAGAGAGAAAGAAAAAAAAAAGGAGAGAGAAAGAAAAAAAAAGAGAGAGGACAAGGAAAAGGCACCTAATGTAGGACGTTGCCACACAAAGCAGAAAGCTTTTAATTTAAGAAGCACCAAAAGTAAGGGATTTTGGGAGTATACTTGAGCCTATCCATTCTTCATAACTCCTTGAGGTATACCATAACCATGTACCAAAATCATCATTCCATGAAAATATGGTCAACCTTAGGTCTTTGCACATATGGACCTCCTATTAAGTAGTGATGCCCATATGTAAAATGCATAAAGTGTTGAGTTATGATTACAAGATCATATAAAAAAATTTCAAATGATTTGGATGATTTGATAGCCATTGGCTTGTTTACATCATGTTAGTAAAGCAATCGAATCAAACTAAATTCGATGTTTTCCATATCCTTTGCCAAAGAAAAATGAGATGACTATCACTCTAAACAACAATCATCTTATTTTCTTTTAATAATACACTAGTAGAAAAATAGCATTAGGCACCCCCCATATGGCACCGGTTCAGGCCAAACCGGTGCCAAAAATCGGCCCAAATTTGGGCGCCATTTTACACAAATATAAAAGGCACCGGTTTAGACCAAACCGGTGCCAAAAAGTAAAAGGGCACCGGTTTGAACCGGTGCCAATTGAACCGTTCCTTAATGTTAAAAAAACCGGTTAAAAAAAAAAAACGGCCATATTTATACCCCCAAACCCTATTTCCCTTCACTCGCCGCTTCTCCTCTCCTCTTCTTTCCTACTATTTCTCTCTCCTCTTCTCCTCTCCTCCTCTTTCGCTCCACTAACCTCCTTCCCTTTCTCATCTCCTCCTTCCCTTTCTTCGTTCTCCTTCTCCTTAAAGCTCACCACGGAGACCACCACGAACACCACTGCGAGCACATGCAACACCACCACGGAGACCACCACGAACACGTCTCCTCCTCCCTCAATTTCTGGGTTTTTGTTTTCTGATTTTGATATTTGATTTTTGAATTTTGTTTTTCGATTTTGATTTTCGATTTTTTCTGAGTTTTTTCGATTTCAATTTTTTTTCGTTTTTGTTTTATTTTAATTGATTTCTGGGTTTTTATTTGTTCGTTTTTGTTTTCATTTTTTCGATTTCTGGGTTTTTCAATTTTTTATTTTTGTTTTTCGATTTTGATTTTTGTTTTTCTTTTTTATCGATTTTGATTTTTGTGTTTCGATTTTTACTTTTGTTGTCTGATTTTGATTTTTGATTTTGATTTTTGTTTTTCTTTTTTTTCGATTTTGATTTTTGTGTTTCGATTTTTACTTTCGTTGTCTTATTTTGATTTTGATTTTTGTTTTTCGATTTTGATTTTCGATTTTTTTTGCGTTTTTCCGATTTCAATTTTTTTTTGTTTTTGTTTTTATTTTAATTGATTTCTGGGTTTTTTAATTGTTCTGTTTTTATTTTTATGATTTTTGGGTTTTTTTCATTTTTTTCTGGGATTTTTTTTTTATTTTTTCGATTTTGTTTTGATTTTTTGATTTCAGGGTTTTTTCGATTTTGTTTTTAATTTAATCGATTTTAATTCGATTTTTTTTTTATTATTTTCTAGGTTTTTTTTTTGTTTTTTTCGCAGCTTGTTTATTTTAATCAATTTATTTTTTATGTTTTAATTGGCGCAGGTATACATAATCCAAGAATCAAGAATATGGGGATTTTTAGATTGTGATGTTGTAATATTTTTTTTTTGATTTATATTGTAGTTTTTTTTTTATTTATATGTTGTAATTTTTTTTTATTTATAAGTAATTTTTTTTATTGATCTATCTTGTAAAATTTTATTGATTATATATAAAACTGAATCGTTTATAATTGATTGTGATGTTTGATTTATATTTTGTGTTTTTATTTAATTTAGTTTATTTAGTTTTTAAGCAAAAAAAAAAAAACAAAAAAAAAAAATTTGATTTTTGGGGGTTTTTTGGCACCGGTTAACCGGTGCCAAAAACTTTGAAAAATATTTTAGTGGTCCTTTTTGGCACCAGTTAACCGGTGCCAATTTCGATTTTTGGCACCGGTTTGAACCGGTGCCTTTTTAAACCCCTTTTTGGCACCCCCCAAATTAGCACCGGTTCAAACCGGTGCCTTAGACCGGGTTTGAACCGGTGCCAAATTCATTTTTTCACGTAGTGATAGGGCTATTTATTCAAGTTCTATATACATTGCCTAGAAAGAAAAGGAGTTAATACAATAAATTGATTTGATATATCGACAGCCTCGACGTCAACTCTAGATGTCTTTTACAACTCTTGATAATTGGTCTTCTCACTTATACGTCCGCATGTGTGGGATATCTCTATCTTCTTTAAGCAAGGAACATTGATTGAATATGATCGCTACATGAAAAAATGATCGTTATCACTATCACACGTATACCTCACTGCCAAGTCATCACGATGATTCAAATATTAAGTCAATAATCCTTGCTTTTCGAAAACATGTCTAATTTTCTTTCTTTGTTCTTCTATGGGAAAGTTGGATTCCCCTTCCTTTTTATACAAATCCGTCTTTTTTGTTCATTTCTTTTTTAGGGGGTAAGTCGGGATGATCCCTCCCACTTCTCTCTATTTACATATTTGAACACGGTATTTTTGCTGCAAAATCAATGTCATGCAAAGCTTATTACGAACCATCTTAATAACTTTAAATAATGACATAGGGATAAATACCACATCCTATTATTTGACCAAGATAATTAATTATGTTACTTGATCAAACAATTTGTGATAAACATATGCAATATTCCACAAATTAAAAACACAAGTCTTGGGGCTTTAAATAAACATGAGAAACATCCCCTAGCATATGTATACATGAATTCCAAAAGCCACCTAAAGTCTACGCTTGGGGGCTTCAAATTAAAAATATAGGTCTCACCTTAACTTTCATTTTAAAATGAGACCATATTTTAGAAAGTGATTCGAATGATTTTATAAATTATTCTAACACTTCACCAAACCTAAGTTTGATAAACATTCATATTCAAACTACGGTACTTATTTAATTGAAAGAACTTAACTTTTATTTAGAAAAATATGATAATGATGACAAGCAGAAAAACATAAACAAAATCAGATATACGAAAGTTTGCTCACACTTTCATATCTTTGTTGAAATAAGTTGCAAATTACAACTTATCTTCATCAATCTTGGACAAAAAAGTCATACTCAATTACGAGCTAGACTTTTCTTTCCATTTTGGGTACGGTTTTGAAAATAATATAATTATTGGATCCCTTTACCAATTTTGAATTCTAGTTCGAAACAACATGTTTCTAATAAAAAATAGTATTCAAAATTTCCTTTCTGAATTTTTGTTTTCTCAAATAAATAATGTTCAGATTCTCTATAAATGTTTGGATAATACATGTATTTTTCCAAAAGGAATGAATTAAGATTCGACTTCTTCTTGACTCGAACTTCTCCTGCGAATATTGGCTAAGGGATGGTAAAAAAACACCTGCAAGACCAAAATCAATGATTGATAAGAACAAAGAAAATATTTGATGTTCTAAATCAACTTTGAGAATAAAATCACCGCAATGATCTTTACAAACGTCTAGACATCCTTGAACACAATTGTTTTTGGTTTGTAAACAAGCAAAGAACTAACTTGCTTTCTTGAACATGAATTTAACTAAAATGCAAAAGTCATGTCATTATCCTAAGTATCTTAATAAACAAAAATAGGATATATACATAGGCCCATCTCAATATCATATGAATGGCCTAAATGATAGCAAGTCATTAGAACTACCCCAAATTGGGGGCTCTAAGACTTGTGAAATAGAAAGAATGCGCATAACCCGACACATGGGGGCCCCAATATCAACAAAAAAACAAAATGAGATATTCATGCCATTTGAACTACTTTCGAGAATCGCCTAAACTACAAAGGGTTTACGTAGATCTCGAGCCTTACAATTTTCAAACGTATCACAATGATTTAATAATCATGTTGTTCCTTTGAAAACTAAGTTTGCAACTAAACTTGGCCATTAAACATGTTACATACTCAAGCCATTTTCAAGTTCAACTTCACAAACTAATCTTAGTGCATAATTGTTTCCAATACTTCAATTTACTCTAGAGATTAGAGAGTATGACTAGTATAGAGCAAAAGAAACAAAATCATGATGCATAAAACATACTTGCTCATATGAAAGTTTAGTACTCAATCATTCATCATGAAAATTGTATCAAGACACATTATTTCATGAGTTAGAATGTAAACAAAAGCCTCCTAAATTCTAAATTAAGGAGT